TTTTTCTATTTTCACCTCCATGAGAGCCAAAATCCCACTCCCCCAAGTTCCTATTCCATTGTTAATGTCATCCTTGAGGGACCTCCTCTGGATGACTCCACCCATAATGATATGAAGAAAGGGTGCTAGAAAAAGAGCCTTCTCAGTAGTGGCCTCCTGTAGCTGGAATGCCTTCCCAAGGAAGATCCATCTGGCATCCTCATTAATAATCTTCAGACACCATGCTAATACTGTATCTGTTTCTTCTGGCAGGGATTTAGTTCTTGATTTCTATTTCTATCTTTGCTTTTATTATAAGCTTTAGTGGTGGACCCTAACATTCTAATGTTTTAATGTCCTGATACCATTTTGGCTGATTTATTTATTTTGCTGATAAAATCAGTGATTGTATTCTCCATTTTTGTTTTTTGGTTTTATATTTGTCCAGTTCCTGTCAAGGAGGCATAGTGGAGAACAAAACTCCTAACACCTGGCTCTGCAGCCTGATTCACTATTTATTTAGGAGTTAAATTTATATGTAGATTAAAATTTGATATGGCTGCTGGGCCCAGTAAAATTAATCTGTGACTCGGAGACAGCACACAAGTTGGTCATCGTATTTGTGTGCTGTCTCTTGTATGCATAAACAAATAGTTCAGTTTATTATTCTGATGCTACAATATTTTGGGAAGATTTAAAAATAGCAATTGGCTCTAAAATAGTGTCAGATCCACTTCAAAGCACTATTAGGTTTCCAAAATGACTGAAAACAGAATTATACAAAGCTGCCTTTAATAACTTATTTCCCTGATGCTGTTAATATTAATATATTTTCCCCTTTATTGTTTTATTTTTCTTTTGGATGAGTTTTAGAGTTTTCTTGTGAAACGCCATATTGAATATATATTTTATGTGGGATCTTAGACATTTTAGTTTTAAACCACCCAGAGTAGTACTAGCACTAATGGGGAAGTATATAAATAAAATGAAATAAAATAAAATACTGCTGGTACATACATAGAACACCTAACAGGCTCTGTATTAAATATGCCACCACAAGAGGAGGACAATAAACTTCTGTTTAAAAATATGCTTCTTTGACAAACTTAGCTACCCAGAAAAGACTAAAATAAAAACTTTAGAGTGCCAGAATGTTTGTAATTTAAAAAGCTATGTTATAATTTTGCTGCCACAAGCCCAATACAGCTCACCTTCTACAACTTTTATAAAATAGAGAAATGAAAGAAATCTTATGTAGAAAAAGCAAAAAGAGGTATAGAGAGGTTACTTATTTTCTTTACAAGAATTACTGACCTGTTTTCTGAACTAGATGTAGACGTACTAGATGATGACAATGTATGAGAATTTGACATGCGTGAAACAAACTTCTGGATGGTGTTACGAGATGGGGCTTTGATCCTTGAGCTACGCCTACTGTGATATTTCTGGAACAAACTCTCAACCTAACATTGAAAGAAAATGTTAATAGTAGCTATTATACTATGAATTCCTCATAGTTGTTGATTTTAAATAAAGATGTAATTGCAGCCAGCCTATGATATAATAATGCATTGTATTATAAGAATACCAGTACTTATTTATACAAATAGAGAGGTTACTTACCTGTAACCATAGTTTTTCAAGTGGTCTGAGAATCCACACAAATGGGTTTTACTGTGCTTGCGCATGACTCCTTGGAATATTCTAAAGCTTTAAAAGACGTGATTAGTAGGATGTTGCCCCGTGGCGCTCATGCTCCGCTCACCCTAATACCTTAGTTCCAAAATGTCCGCCGCTGTCAAGGCTCTGACTCCCACAAAGCTCAAGACACGAAGTGATGGACAACGGGGAGGCTGGGCGGGATGTGTGGATTCACAGAGGACCACTTGAAGAACTATGGTTACTGTTAAGTAACCTCTCTTTCTTCTTCATGGCCTCCGTGAATGCACGCAAATGAGTGACTGACAAGCTCACTTACCGGAAGGAGAACCGTCATGCCAACAATGAAGTCAGCACAGCCCTTCCAAAACTTGCTTCCTTCTTGGCCCTGACATTAAGACAATAATGTGTCACAAAAGTTGAGGATGTAGACCAAGTGGCTGCTCGACAGATGTCAGGGACTTCAATACCATGCAACCAAGCTGTAGAAGTTGCCATATCTCTCGTGGATTGTGCCTTTGTTCCACAGCTGCCTGTGATAGGCCCCCATTGCAGCCTGGTAGTTTGAGACCCTCATAACGAAGAAAGCAAGAGAATATAGACGATGACCCAGTACGTCCAGCTTTTTCTCTTCCTTGTTAGTAGGAGTGACTGAGTACCAATTACCGGCTCAGGACTGATTTGATTGTATGATGATGGAATTTGGTGGAGGATGCTTGACGAGGAATGCTGTGTCCGTGCTGTGAGTGTGGTAGTGGTTCTCCATACACCTAGAGATCTGTAAAGACATAGATGTTTGTCCCAGAATTCTTTAATAAGCTCCAACATGGCTGGGATGAATGCCAAACTCAATGGGGGGCATTTATCTTGGTTAATGTCATCAACGACAAGGTTGTGTTTGGGAGGAGATGGTTATTCGATATCAAGCTCCAATGATTTGGCCATGCGAAGGATGAGTTGAGAGTAAGATGTGAAGTCCTCAGATGGGGATGGAGGATGAGCATCTGCAATGTTCGAATCAGGAGTTAGTAAATTTGAAGGAGACTCTCTGGATGCCTCAGAGGGAGGATCATGCTCAGAAACTGTTGACACTGAAGAACCTCCGGAAATGGAGAGTTGGAGAGGGAGAACGTTGACGAGCCTGAGAAACAGGAACAAGGGTGGTTGGTGCTGGGATCTGACAGGCAGAGCGGGATCTAGGTAAAGAAACAGTCGGGCATGACGTTGAAGCTGACGGCACCATAGAAGAGTGTGGGCACTTAGATGGAACAGGCTCATGTCGAGAGGGTTTGTGTCAAGATGGAGATGGATCGCAACGGGGTACTTCAGAGCTAGACAGATGGTGTTTAGCAGACTTCTTAAGATACCGGTACCACTGGACTTAGATACCAGTACCACTGGACTTATAAGCTCGGTGCCGACTTCGAAGAGGAGGCGGCAATGGCAATGGAGAGGACTCGGATGGGGCAGAAGCGTTCCGAACATGTTTGGGATGCTCATAACAGTCCTGATCGAATCTTGGATTGAACGCGTCAAAATGGTATTGGTGGCGATCACTGTGCTGATCAAAGTCATAAAGGGGATCTCCATATTCAGGAAAGACATGGCATCGAGATGGACACGGAACAAGGATTACCTCCCGATACTGCAATGATGGGGAGATGTGACGCCACTTTACTGCCCTCTTCCGCGGAGAGGACTGCGAGACCGATGCCTCAGAGTTTGAAAGATGGATAACAGTCGCCCGCCTGGTCGAAACAGGGCTAGAATGGGCTGAGACTGGGCTGGATATGACATCAGCCTCAGAATGGCCATGAGTTGGAGACAAGCTCAGTATCGAGACCGAAGCTTGAGCCTAAGTAGGAGGACCCGACTCTCCTGCTTCGGAAATGGAGTCTTGGTCCAGGATGTCCCTTGACGATTCCTCCAAGATGGGAGGGAAATGTGGTCAACTGGCAGCTCATGGGGCTGATGAGGCTTAGGAGCCTGCTTAGCTTTCTTTTGCTTGACTCTCTCATCCTTTTGTTTCTTTACAGACTGAGTCTTCGCCGAAACTGAGGAAGACTTTGACATCGAGGCTGACATCGATACCGAGGGAGATTTAGGCTTGGAAACCTTGGTAGAGGTCCTTGGCAAGGGAGTAGTAGGAGCCAACAGGATGGAAGGCTCAGAACAAGGCACTGGAATAGGGGTGGGTTTCATTGTGGGGCTGCTTGGAAGACTGGAGGGTGCCAAGGATTTTTCCCACAAATGAGACTTAAGTCGTTGAAGCCCGAGTTTAAGAGCCAGTTTAGTTAACTTTTTACACTCCAGACAAGAGTGAGTCTGGTGACTCTCACCCAGACAGAACAAGCAATGATCGTGGCCATCAGTAAAAGGAATTTCATTGGCACACGTCGTGCAACTCTTGAATGGGCCTGAGGAGGCCATTAAAAAAGGGCGGGAAGGGAGGGGGAAGGACAAAAAGAAGAGATAACTCACCGGGAAACATCTGTAAATAAAAAACTTGATTAAGTCCGTGATCTGAGAATTGAAAAACGTTAAGCAGTCCGAAGGTCAGAAAACTGTAAGATTCGAATGACAAAATCGTTCTAAGAGTTGCACAAAAGTCAGATTTCAGCGGCGGATAAAAGGAATTGAGGTATTACGGGCAGGTGGAGCATGCCTGCCACGGGGCAACATCCCACTAATCACGTCTTTTAAACCTCTAGAATATTCCGAGGAGTCCTGCGCAGGTGCAGTAAAACCCATTTGTGTGCATTCACAGAGGCCACGGAGAAGAAAAATAAAATATCAGTACATTAAAAAGGTTGCAACCAACAATAGGAAAAAATGATGGATCCATTTTATCAAAACTCAATATTTTTATTTATGAATTTCGTATTCAAAGGCTAAAACAGTTTCACCTAAATCAAGACTGGATAGCTGCGATTCTCCAGATGTTATTACATGCAAGTCCCTGAATTCTTCACCATTGACCATGCTGACTTGGACACTTGCAGGAATTCTAATTCAACATCTTTAGAACTACAGTTGCCCACCTCTGACTTTAAATACAGGGGCATCGAGACTGCATTTTGACCAGATTTACACTGGAAATAACTTTATGGCCAATGACTGTTATTAGACATAGCCAATGTTGCCTCTGCACTTGTTTATATTTTTGGGGAGGAGAAAAATTGGAAGAAGTACACTGACATATTTTCCTGAATAGGTTTCCTGATTTTATATACAGGGCTCATTTTTAAGAAATCAAGAGATTCTGAGATTACTTCTCACCCCACACCTACCTACCATGATAACAAGATAGATATTATAAGATACAACAAATAATAAACATCACTAAGGCTTAAGGTCATCCTTGAAGGGCTTCCTTAAGCATCTATAAGTGGGATATGGTCAGCCTTAACAGCAGTTAACCATACTTGCCAAAGCAATTAAGTTACAAAAGGAGCGATTCTAAGGAGAAATATGCTATCCTACTTTCTATTCTCACATTTTTAATCATGATCAGGCCCACAAAGTGTGCACTAAATGACAAGTATCTGAGTGGAAGAATACTGATGGCTGGTTGATCAACAAGCCATATCTATCTATTGGATATTGATCTGTGGCATACAATACTGAGCATTAATGTAGATTGTGAAAATACTAACAGTACACTAGTGAAACATTAAAATCACAACTAATTTGAAAATCTGAACAATGGATTACAACAGCTATGAGCACTTAATTATAACTAAAAGGGCAGGATGATCTACCTCAAAGTTCTTCAGGGTCTTTCGCCATAACATTGGATCTGAAGATTCAAGTTGAAACACTCGAAGCATAACAAATAGGAGATGAATGCAAAATGTTCCACGCCCACAGCTACATGTCTGTAAATACAAAAATGCTGCACATATTTATTATGGCTGTTTACACACTTCCAAGAATTTTTAAAAAATCACTCTGTTAAAGAATCATTAGGGTTATGTTTCTGTTTTACTTTTAGCAAAAGTATTCTATGATTAGCAATAACTATTTTTAGTAGCCTTCCTTCAATGGACTGATAATAGTTTGGGCCCCAGGAAACAATGAATATTGTTTCACGCACAACACACGCAAAGCTAATATAACTAATTATTTTGGGGAGGAGAAATGACATTTTGGCAACTCCTGCATTCATGCCTGTGGAAATCAAATATTTTATTAAAAATATAATTCAAAAGGGTGCATTGTATGCAATTCATACCTGAGGACCAATGAATACCCTATATTTATTGTCTGGGCTATCTCCTCCTATCAAGAAAGAATTGGGTCCTATCTGCTGTAAGAGGTACAATCTGGCTCTCATGACTTTGTTGACTCGGCGACTTGTTTCCTCAGGACTATATGGTGAGAAACCATCTGGAGACGGAGCTCTTCGTGGTGGTGTTATTCGGCCACTCTGAAACTTAAAGCAATATATTTCCATTAATCTTAACGGTGGATCTTAAACATCCACCCCCTCCATGACAAACAAGCTTTTACTTCATTCATTAGCTTGACTAAGTTACAGAGAAGACGTAAGTTACATTTTCATGACCTAGCACTTATACATTCTGCTGGTGACACAGAAACACTATCACCTCTTCCACTAAATAAGTTAAAACTATATTCTAAGCTAGCTTTTTGAGCAACATTCTCAACAGCAGGAACTTATTTATCACCACTGCTACAATACTGTATCACTTTTTTACTTTATACTGAAGTCATATAAGGCTTATATTTAAAATAAAAATAAATAAAACAAAATTGCTGGAATCTTGTTGCTCAAGATACACTACACAGCTTAGATTATGTCATCAGCTGTGTCCATGCTATATCTGTTTTTGGAGAATTAAAAGTTCCTACCCAAGCCATGCCCATCCACCAACAATTCCAGGGTTCCAGAATGGAGTACCTAATTATCAGTGATTTGCCACTGCTGATGACAGAATTCTTACTGCCAACATAGAGTTGCACAACAGGATTCCAGCCATTACAAAAACTAGACACAAGACGGTGGCAGAAATCCTGTTGCACAGCTCTGCATTGGCAGTAGGAATTCTGTCATCAGCAGTGGCAAATCACTAATAATTAGGATTCCTTTTGTGATTTTTGGTTGTACATGATTTTCCTGCATTGTGTGCAAGTTGCATGCACCCCAACATTGCCAAAATCAGCAACTTTTTGCCACCGGTGACGATGACATTCTCACTTGAGCTGTGGAACAGAATTCCAGCCTATATGTAAAAATAAATTCAGAGGACAGAAAACATAACCAAAGGAGTCAGTTAAAACATCATGCATGCTAAAGATGTGCTTGAAGAAAATGGCATTCAAAATAATAGAAGAAGCCAGAGAAGTCTCTAGAATACAGAATTCCAGAGTCTTGGCACCACACTAGAGAAGACCCTTTCACATATTATCAACAACTGTACCCTGTTGGTGGGGCTCTTGCTGGGCAGAATGGATAAGGAGGGCTCATATGTGAAGAAACAGTCTCTATCCATTACGTTCCTAAATTAAAGTTAAATAAGAACTTTCAACTTACAGGTACAGGAGATACCCTCTTCCTCCTTACACCAGGCGATTCAGATTTAACAGTCCTAGAAGATGATGAAGAGGTACTACTAGGAGAAGGACTCCGTCTCCCTTTCTGAGTAGGTGAAGTAGCAATTGTTTGTCCTTCAGGAGGAGTCTCTGTTGCTGGTTTGCTTGCTTCACAGCCATCTCCTTTTACTGGTATTGGCTTTACCACCTTGTCAAGAAAGATATGAAGTGATTGACAGTTACCTAGAGATCTTCTTAAAAGAAAAGAGATATTCACCGTTAAGTTCTTTGTATGTCAGTAATTCTTGGATTCTAATCATACTGAATGTTCTCCATTTTTCCCTGAGACTTACTAATAATATGAGTAGAATCATGATATATTGTGAATGAAAACTTGCTTCTACCATATCTCTCCACAATTGACGGACTTCTCTAAATTAACAGGTAGTCTGGGTTCTCTTATCTGGAAACCCAAGAGCTAAATTCCCAGAAAGAAGCACTACAACCTTCAATATCTGATATGTAAATATAAACATTGTTTGGATGGGCTCTCAAGTGTTACTGTGTAAGTTTTTTGATAAGTCTAAAGGCCCACTGGAATCTGACAACTGAGTATAGCGTCATAGCATAAAGAATGAGAAATGCAAACTCTTCTCCTTGACTTCATATTAGCTCTACAGTTCTTCTGACCAAAGAGTTTACAAAATTGCACTTTTGTGGAGAAATAAGAGAAGGATATATTCCTTTTCACTCCACTTTGAGCACAAATCCTTTACTAATCTGAAATTTGCAAATGAGACCTCCCATTCGTTTTTCTCCTTGTGCAACATCCCAAGCATTAAAATGTTACTTGATAGATCTATTGATTTTTTTGTTTCTATCTAATGTGAATAAAATTCAATTTAATATACTAACAATAGAGGGCAGTGTTGTAATATTTTCACCAATATGAATTTGTGCTTCACTTCAACAGTACACTGCAGAACTCTACATTTTTTAGAATGTGATGTTTCATATTCAGCAATTTGAAAAAAATGAAGCAAAAGGAATTATAATGCAATTATGATACTGACATATTACCTATAAGGTTGCATCATGCAAAAAAGCTAATTCTGTGCTTTTGGCATTTACCTTTTTTAAAAAATAGAATATCAGTACTTTTCTTTGAGCCTTACTTACCACAGGGCCTCTTCTACTCCTCCTTTCAAGCCATTCGTGCTTCCAGGCAGGCATGCATGTTGCCTTGAGTTTCTCCCTGATCATGCGCTCCTCTGGGCGGTCATCCATTTTCTGCAACCCCCTGAGGGTTTCTTTATTCTCCATGTCACGCCTACAATAAAATTAAGCAAAAATCATAAATGTGACTGTCAATAAACACACAGTTTTGTTTAACCCTTGAACCAGTCTACATTTCTCTCTGCCATAATTATTGCTACAACACTGACTTCAGTGGCAGAAGCAAAGAACAAACCTCCAGTATAAATAGGCTATTTAACAACAACAAAAAAGGAAAGTTACTTCTCCTGAACAATTTAATTTTTCAAAGAAAACCTTTGAGCTAGTAATCTACTATAACCTGTAACAAACAAACATTTTTAAAGAAATGGATCTGCAGTCGCACAAGCTTTTTGCCCTGAGGAAGCCTTTGGGAGGGAGCCTTTACTATCGGCAAATCACTGTCAGTTATCCCACTGCTTTGCAATATTAAAGATTCCCCTGAAAGGCATCCTCAGGGCTAAAGGAATCCCTAAGAACGCTCAGAACCTGAAGGAAATGATACGTTTTACAACTATTTTAACTTAATTTAATTTAACACTTCCTATCCTCCCCTTTAAGTTAATATTGCTAAGGGATGGCATCACCACAATTTATGCCCAGCAGAGTTGTACAACAGGATTTCAACTCATTTATTAATGAACTACTAATGAAACTACTTGTAAACTAATAGCAGCTTTTCTCTCCAGACAGAATTTTTTAAAATTATTAATGGAAGAAGCCACACTACTTCATCAGTTTATGGACAAATATAATTTTTAATGTACAGTGGTGCCTCGCTTAGCGACATTAATCCATTCCTGAAAAAAAGTTGCTAAGCGAAAACATCGCTAAGCGAAATTAAAAAGCGATTAATGCGTTCCTATGGGCTTAAAACCTCACCTTTAAGTGAAAATCCTCCATAGCGCCACCATTTTCGCTGCCTCTTAAGCGAGGAAAAACAGCAGGCGGCCATTTTGTTTTCCCGGCCGCAATTTTGAAACCGCTGATCAGCTGTTAAAAAAGGGTCGCTTTGCCATGATTGCTTCCCCGTGATCATCACAAAGCGAAAAAAACCCATAGGGACCATCGCAAAGCGATTACTTTTGCGATCGCAAAAACTCCGTCACTAAGCGATTTTGTCGCTCAACGGAGTGATCGTTTTACAAGGCACCACTGTAAAATTTAAACAACTGTATTCAGTCAAATTAAAGATTTTTCAAAGTTAGTTGCTTCTGTAACAGTTACAATATCAATTTATAGGCCATCTTGCTTATTTTATTTATTTATTTATTTCATTTATAAGCTGCCTTTCTCCCCATAAGAGGACTCAAGGCAGCTCACAAGGTTAAAATAAGAAAAACTAAAATACAATCAATAACACATTAAAACAAATTTAATTATTATAATCAAATATTACAATATTTGTAATTGTATCACCTTAATAGTGGAAGTTATTCTTTGTATATTCTGCAACACCAGTCAAAGTAGATTAAAAATTACAATACTGAACCACAACCATCAATGTCAACACCGTCACTGATGCTTTGTAGCCTTAAGATTAATGACTCTCATGAAGTGCTCTACATGAGCAGTCTCAATCTTTCTCATTCCCATTAATATAGAAATCTCAAATTATACATGTGCATGCATACACACGCACATAATGGCATTAGAACATGAGTGGCATTCTTTCTCTGAAACTGCATTCTTTTCAAGGTCTGCCAAGAGGACAGCACACCAGTTTTAACTTGCATATTTCAACTATATGGTGGCTAGGAATCAATTAAGAATAGCTTTACACACACACACACACACACACACACACACACAAGTCCTTGCCCATGCAATAGGCTCTATGTATATGCACCATATATTCTTCCCCCATCCTCTACATCAACATCATCATGTGCTGTCAAGTCAGTTATGATTAATGACAACCCTTTTCAGGGTTTTCTATGTAGACAATATACTTAGAAGAGGTTTAACATTCTCTTCATCTGGGGGCACCCTTGGACTGTACAGCTCACCCAAGGCCACATAGGATGGCTCTTCTCCATAGAGGCACAGTGCAACATCATACTGCAGGCCAATCTCAGTAGGAGGATCACAAGCAAGGCAATTCTCATGAACATACTGATACTGGGAAAGGTGTTCTTTTAAGCACTTGGGTCCTACGTTATTTAATGCTCAATCCCTTTTTCCTGCCATCCTTTTTTCAATTCAGACTTGCGCTCAGTCTAACAGCTCAGAGGCAACAAACAAAAACCCCCGAAGAGGGGGTGGGCACCAAGGTTTTCCTACCTAACATCAAGGTCATCCCACTACTACTCTTTCACAGCCCTTTTGAGCACCCAGTGCATTCACATGTATTATACAGATTTTATTAATGCCAGGAAAATTATTGAGATAGTAAGAGTAGCAGCCAGTAACTAACAAAAGCACTCTAGATAATCATCCACAAACACCTAAAATATAGTTGTATTTCCAGAAGACCAGATTCACTGCAGCATGAATTTATCTATGTAAAAATTACCCCAAACAGCTGCAGAACCAAACACAGTTTTCCATGCATTCTCGTAATAGCCACAGTTCCTTTCCAGCTGATACAAAAATGTCTTTCCATAGCCTTTGGACAGACCTTTATTAACAATGTACTCCCGTAGTAAAGGCTTCACAGTCTTCACTTGTTCTCTAAAAAGAGCAGAAGCAACTAGCTTCCTGTCATGTGACAGTATAAGAAAATTGCTCTTACTTACAACAAAAGAAGTGTTATTTAAATGCAGGTGGGAATTACCAGCCAAGACTGAAAAGTGTTTTGACTTGGATACAGATATGTTATAAAAATAACTTCAATTATCTGGAACTAAGAATGAATTTCAGTCTTTGTATTGTTTATACATTCAAAAGTTTCAGATTCAAAGTACAAGTTCATACACGTGAACGAGAATTTATATGTGATTAAAATGAGCAGCATCATTTCTTCCAGATTCACTATTTTCATTAGAAGAGTCTCCCAGTCCCCAAGGATTACACAATTTCCTACCATAGAACACTGGGAACAACTCTTGCTAGTCTAGTGAGAATAGTTACCTGGGCCTTCTGCAACATGAGCAACAGTGTAGCAAAGCTCAGGTATATATAAAAAGCACCCACTTAATGTTCAGTGCTTGAACTTTAGATCCAAAGGATAGCAGGCAAAGAGAAGCAAGTCAAGTCATTGCAACAAACTGTTTGGATATAAATGAAAATATATGAAGAGAGTTTACACAGCAGCAATACCTTCAAATTGAAAGTTTGGCAATATACTTGTCAAGCTATTCATATTTTCTTTCATTTTTCTTTAAATGGATTTATGTGAAATAAATCTGAGCTAAGTTCATTTGCTCCACCACTTTGCTTCAGGAAAATTCCCACATCCCTTAGTCTCTATTAACGCAGAAGCAGATTTGTACAATATTTACCTCGGGACAGCAAATAACTGTTCAGAGAATAATACGATAGCAAGATACACAACTGGCCATTATTACCTTTCCAATTTTTTGTCCATATGTTTTAACGATAATCTTTTGGTGAGCACCACTACATCTCAATTTTGAAAGAAATGCAAGATATAAACCAAATAAACAAAACAGAATACAGAAAAGTAGTGTTGTTGTTTTTGCTACATAGCTAAACAGGGCTGCACTATGACTATATTTTCTGAATTTATATAGAATGGTTTTCACATGATTTGAAGATCTTACCTATGGTAAGAACTGAGTCAGGTTTTAAGGAATGGGTACAGTTTAATTTTGTCTTAGCCAACATGCACCAGGTAAAACACATTTCCTTTGCTAAGTTCTGGACATTTCAAAGAAAAGTCCAATGAGCCAGCCTTTTGACTGCTAGCAAATAAAACTGTTCTCAATGTTTTACAGTACAAATCTAGAGGAAAAACATCAGAAAGTTTTAGACGTTATATCCTTCTCTTATGAGCCAAAATAATCTCCAGAACAGCTAATATTAAAGCCAATATAAACAATCCACAATAATTCAAAAGAAGAGCAGAATACCAGTATTATTTATTTATTTATTTAAATTTATTTAATTTTTTTTACCCGGCCTTTCTCCTTAAAAAGGAGCCAAAATTAAAGATTTAGGGTTGCAAATGACACCAAATAAAAAAGAAATAGTTAAAATAGAAAAAGCGTTTTAAAAAAAACAGAAAAAATGGAAGTTATGAATGCAAACCTGGTAGTGATACAACATGAAAGAAAACGAGGTGAAATCAACCTCCTAAAGTTACAAATGGAGGGAGCCAACCTCATACTTAAGATTCCAGAATCTTCCAAAACAAAAAAGGTGAAGACGATGCAATTGTTACTAACTTTTTGGAGATGCGACCAGAAGTACAGCAAAATATAGATACAGCATAAAAAATTAACACAGCATACACCAGGAATAATGAACTCCACAGAGAAATTCATGTTAAATTCACGAGAATGGTATTTTGAGAAAAAAATTCTAAGTTACATGCAAGATAAAGGATCCACTATAAAAGAAATAAAGAAATTAAGATTTTGAAACATATTCTGTGGTAAATAAGACAGAAAAGGAGACAATACGCGGAGTTAACATATTTCCTGAAAACAAACTCAATTATATATAAGTCGTTGATACTTGAACATCTCTCTTTCCAATTCTATTCACAGAGATATTCTATTAATTCAATAATAAAGGCAGAATACTTTATGAAAAAAAGGGGGAATAGCTGGGTAGGAAAGAAGAGAAAAAGACATATGAGAAACAGGAAGAGAGCAATCAAGTGGATCATTAGAACCAAATTCAGAAGGAAGTTCAGAGTTTCAGCTAGAAAATCAAATGGGAAGCGCCAAAGGAAAACCCACCATGGAAAAAAGAGAATCTAAGAAGAGCAAAGACAACCTTTGCTCTTTGGATAAAATGAGTGTCCAAGAAACTCATATGAAAAGAACAGATCAATATCAGATGTAAAAGAATTTACGAACAAATATAAAAATTAAAATTGGACACTATCTGCCTTCAAAACTTATAGTATGAAAATCAAGAACCACT